CAGATCGACAGCCGACTCATTACCTTCTGCGTCCAACATCTTGGGGATGTCCAGGTGCTTCTCAGCCACCTCAAAGGCGTTGTTCAGGTTGGTTACAGGATCATCCTGAACAGCAAATCACAGACGGCGAACAAGCCAGTGAGTCGCTTCAGGCATGTGTAACGCAACTTAACAACAGATATGAAAGCGTTTCGATTCCCCGTGTTTGACACAAAAAAATGTGAAGAGGGTGGAGGAGCGTGAAGCTGTTCACCTTTCTGAGGCTGTCGTAGTCGATGAGATCAGGTCTGTGTCTGTGGATCAGAGCGTTGAAGGCAAGACCGTCCTTCCAGCTGTTGGAGAGAAAAGACGAGTTCGGGGTGAGGGTGGAGGCGACACTCGCACATTTGCTGCATTACAAGTCGACATTATCGGCGCCGTTAACAAAAACTGTCCCGATCTGCCGCCGGGACCAAGATCCACATCTCCACTGTGACTCTGAACTTAATTTATGAACTGATCTGAAACTAAATGAACTTCATTAACATTCTTTTCGAGCTGAATTTGGGTGAAAGATGGTTTGATTGATTATATCTGGACGTGTTGCATGTGATACATCATCATCAGCTGCTTCTGAATTCCTTCTCACAGAAAATAATCACATTTGTCTATTTACAGCACTGATAAGATGCTCTGCTGTGCCATGTTGCACTCTCTCCACCAGGGGGCGCCCTTTCTACACAACAGCAGCAGATTGGAGGTTTCGTGTAAGCGTTGAACACCTGAGCTGAATCCAGAAAGGTTCAGGGGAGTATCTGCGTGCTGCTGTGTGTGCGCCAACTCAACTTTTATGCTGAGTTTAAGAAACTCTCAGATCAGTATTTTTCATATAAAGGGGAAAAAAAAAAAACACTGGACAGCTGCTCACATACCACACTTAACCACAAACACATTTCATCAGTGCCACTGGAGAGTTTCGCTGTATCCGCAGGATTCCTCAACTGGATTCTCTCAAGGTTTTGTTGGTCTTTACAACACAACATTACTGTGTGTGAGCTGCTTTTATCTAACAATAGAAGCCTTTAAAAACGAGTCCAACTTAAAGCCCTGTGTGTACGTTACCTAATGTGGAAGTTCTGCACATTGACATTCTTGTAGGGAGCCGTCTTCCTCTGGCACCACAAGAGTAGACCCTCTTTGGCAGAGGTCTCTGCAGAGAGAACGTTCAGGAGACGTGATCAGTCGGAGCATCACATTCATTCAGCTGCTTTAACCGTGTGAGTCCATTAGCTTTGTGCAAGCAGACCAAGAAATACCCGACTGGCCTCGGTGCTCATGAGCAGAATTGAAAATATGATGATGTTTGTGTTTGCTTTAGTTTCCTCCACAAACACAAACAAAATTTCCGCCGCTAATATGGAGAATTACTCCAATGACTTATAGCAGCCCACGCCCACCGCAGCTAATTCAACTCAGACTCTTTTAATTAGCCTGCAGAGTCAGTTGTGCTCAGAGAGGAGAAATGAAGCTCACCTCCACATTTATCAACACAAAGCTAACGCACACGTTAATGCACAAATGAGTCATCGGCTGGTTTTACTGTCAGAACGTTCGTCAGGACAGATGTGGGCTGTCGGGTCGACTCTGTGGGACTAAACGCGAATAATTAACTCATCAATATTTAAACGATTTACTTCCAAACCTGCTCTGATAACATTAAACCATTAAACAGCACATAACCAGGCAGAGTTATAACTGTGCTGCTAGCAATATGTAGTTTAACGTGATCGTGTTTCATGTTGGCTTTACTTCATCACATGTGTGCGCTTGCACTTCCTACATGCATATCAAGCCTGCACATCTGTAACTGCAGCAACCTTCAGGGCTTAAAGTTTCTCTAACTTGGCTCTGAAAGCGAGTCGATCCCCACAGACTCCCATGATGCTCGAGTCCAGCCATGAAAATAACATTTTTACAGCCGGCTACAAAAACACTTCTGTGCTCTTCAGCTCAATCTCCCCCTAAAAACAGA